CCCCCGTCTGCTTCCGTACATCCGATGGATCCACATCGTAGAAGATGGGGAACACTTTCAGCCCGGCGGAATCCTTGCAGCGCATGATATGGAGCAGCTCGTTCAAGCACCAGCTGGAAGAAGCATAGTTCTTGGAGAGAACGACGATCGCCATCCGAGATTCTTCGATGGCTCGTACGAGCAAATGCGCGATCGACTCGCTTCTCTCCATCACGTTATCGTCGAACGTAGTGATCCCTCTGCGACGGAACTCCTTGCGAAAGTGGGAGAGAAATCTTCGGCGGACATCTTCACCCCGGAAGCTCGGGAAGACATCGTATCTCCAACGGCGGGGAGAAGAAGAAGCAGCCAGGTGAAGGGCTGGAGATATGGGTATCTCCGGTTCGGTTTCTTCGGATGTCTCAGCTGATGAGTGATCTGATGACGAGGAGGAGAAGGATTTCAACATCTTGATGGCGATGATGGTGATGATGATGATGGAGCCATTTGAGAAGGAAAAGAGAGGGTGGATCATCATCTTTCCAAGTTTCCGAATAGTCAAAATTTGGAGCACAAGCAAGCAATCTCGCACCCTCCGGCGCTCTTTTATAAGTCAAGGTGAGTTGAGAAGAAGCCGCAACGCAACTTCGTAGTAGTTTCAACGCAAATTCTTCGTTAGTAATATGAAAATTTCATTGAATAAACAAAGAATTATTTATTGTTCCAATTACATAAAAAAACTAAGCCATTCTAATTACTATTTTTGTGTTCTTTTTAATTTCCCATATGCATTTTCAAAAGTCTTAGAACTTTAGTATTATTATACTCCAAGATGGAACGTAAGGATCCCTTTACGATGGAACTCTTTGCGAACGGAAAGGAGAGAAATCTGCTGAAGGAAAGTGAGAGGGTAGAGTTAGGGTTTTTCGTCGTTTGGTATCTCGAGAATCCATGGGAAAGGGCTCTCTGCCATTGATATTCGTAGATCAAGAGGAGGGTTTGTGGATCCAACGATATACTTCACTCTCCATTTATTTGCATAAATGTCTAATAAAGGAGTTGATATTATCGTTTCTAATTTCCCATGTTGTAAATTTTTTCTAAATCTGTAAGCGGAAAAAGAATTTTTGTAAACATAAGATAAATATAAACTATTGTATAAGGCGCGTAGTTTTTATAGATGAAATGAAATTACAGTGGACCGACATATGGAAACATTACAGGAAGCCGCGAAGCAAATATTATCTTAGTTTCTGTGACAAAAATCGAGTACCAGTATTGACTTTTCATCACTGGTCAAAAACTAAAGAACGACGAAGGTGCGTTCCACCTTCTTTCCGTGTTCTCTTAAGGACATTCAATGGAGAATGTGCCCTGCAAATTTTGCTATTCAGACATCTCCGAAGATGATTTCTTCTTCTTCTTCTTCTTCTTCTTGGCATTCCATATACGATGTCTTTCCGAGCTTCAGTGGCGAAGATGTCCGAAGAACCTTTCTGTCCCACGTTCACGAAGAGTTCGAACGGAAAGGAATCTTTACGTTCAAGGACAATGGAATAGCGAGGAGTCGATCCATCGGCCCTGAACTTGAACGAGCCATCCGAGAGTCGAGGATTGCGATCGTCGTTCTCTCCAGGAACTACGCTTCCTCGAGCTGGTGCTTGAACGAGCTGCTTCAGATCATGGAGCAGAGGAGAAGCGCTGGGCAGACGGTCATGACAGTTTTCCACCAACTGGATCCATCTGATGTAAGGAAGCAGATCGGAGAATTCGGAAAGGCTTTCAAGAAAACTTGTGTCGGCAAATCATCGGAGGATAAGCAAAGATGGAAGAATGCTCTAACCGAGGTTTCCAACATAGCCGGAGAGCATTCAGAGAAATGGTACCTTGTGATCCGATTTTCACTCTTTCATCTTCTCTCCTTCATATTTTCATGTGGTGGTGTGCGTTTATGCCTTGCCGCGTTTATAATAGTCCTAGAAACACTCTTGTTCATGCGAGTTTGCCATTTTGCGTGTGTAGATTAGTTTCTCAGAACATTTGACTAAGGTTGTGTTGTGGTTTCTCCTTTGTAGGGATAGCGAAGCAGACATGATAAAAAAAATCGCCACTGATGTTTCGAAGCTGCTGAATTCTACACTTTCGAGAGATTTCGAAGACATAATCGGAATCGAATCTCATATGCAAAAGATGATTTCATTGCTGGGT